ACAGGCAATGACACGAACCTCACATCTGGCAGTTTAGACATGCCATCTGGAGGCCTAAAACCGGGGGGGGCAGGCTGCCCCCTTTTTCGGTGGGATGAGCTGCCGGGGAGCACACCACCCGTTTTGCTCTCTGTCTGCCTCTGCTGGAGCGTGCGTGGGCAGAGCTGGGGTCTCTCAGTCCGTTTGCGTGCTCGAGGAAAACTCCTGTCTGAAGGAGCCTCCAGGAATAGATGGGGCAAGAAATAGGGCAGCCAGAGTTTGGGAGTCCTTTAATACAATGTGCGTCACCGGCTTCTGGATGTTGTGAGCTTTCGTTTGTCCAAGCTTTAAAGCTTTTGTTAGGCTTGAAGGTTTGTACTTCAGGTTTTTTTTTTCAGCCAGAATGAAAGGAACGATTTAGCTTTTTACGCTTGTGCAAAGCAGGTGTTTGTGAAATGCACGCTTCATAATTTTCCAGATGTCGGTGGTTCTGTTCTGGGCTCCTTGTGGCTGTGGGGCAGGGCAGCAGTGGGGCAGGGCGGCTGTGGGGCAGGACTGCAAGCACTGGCACCCGGGAGGCAGCGGGGACGTGTGGCTGGCAGATAGCTCTGCGCCTCTCACTCCCTTTGTTTCCCGAAGAACTTGAAAACAGGATTATTTTTGTTTTTAAAGTACTGTTTGAACGATGGTTATGTAGAACAGTGAACTGTTTTTAATTCTTCGGGACGCAATGGCCAAATCATCTTGCTGGCCCATGCTGAGCCGCTTCTTTCTCAAATGGCCTCCCACCTTCTGCACGACGACAGGTGAGGGTCTGTGGTATGTGAAGTTAAACTGGGTTGTGCCAAGATATCTTTTGAGGTTTGGTTTTGGTTTGCTCAAGATTTTGTGGTGTTGTCACTAACAGTTGTTCCCCAGTAACTCCAGAGGCTGAAATGGTTTGGGAGCAGCACCCAACCAAAAGTGTTTTTGTTTTATTTTTTTTTTTTAATGGGGTTGTGTTGTCCCTACACCTTCTAACCCCCCCGTACACAGCACACACTTGAAGACATAACAGCACGTTTCCTTTGGTCTCTCTGTGGACTCACAGGTCATAATCTTCAGCTACCAGAGAGCTGCAGAAGTTAGAAAATCACCATGGGCCCCGAAATACCAAAGCTTATGTCTCTTTTCTCTTGCCGCGTTTTGCAGGGGGTCATTGGGAAGTTGGTACAACGCAGACGTACTTTTCCTTTCTCTCGTGTCCCTCACTGTACAGCCGTGCCGCTGCTTTCTGCTGCCGTGCGCTCTTGGCAACCCCGTTGCGTTTCAGGACTGGGTAATGCTGCGAGGCAAGATTTTCCTTTCATCTAAATACTTTTCTTTGGTCTTTCTGCAGCATTGTTTTGTCCCATTTGCATTTGATCTGGTTTGTGTTAGTTGGGGTTTTTTTTGTTTTTTTGTTTTTTAAAGCCATGAAGCTGGTAATTGAGTAAGAAATGCAGCTGTAACACTGATATTTCAGGAAATATCTGTTAATGATACATTATTCTTTCGGCTTTGGATGTCTTGGCATGGCAAAAAGCCGGTTGTGCAATTGTCACGTTGTGGTGTGCAATTAGAGCGCAGAGTCGCATGCTGTCTGGATAAAGAGCTGCTCTTCACGAACAACTGGTTTGGTGGGAGGAATTGTGGCGCGAGCTCTTAGGATGGCAGCCGTGACTGTCACATGAGCCGCCGGCAGCAGGGTTCAGCACAGGGGTTTCAAAAATTGGGGAAGCCTGAGGGTGCCGGGGGGCAGCGGCTGTGGCGTGGGGCGGTGGTGGGTGGCTTTGTGCCTGGGGAGGGTCTCCTGCTGCTGAGATGCCGGGAAGCATTTCCCGCGGCACCCAGGCTTGTGCTGCTGCTGCCTGGATTTGGGATGGGGATTTTAAGTGCAGGGTGATGTACACAGATTTTCTTTTTTTACCTGGGAACAGCATTTTCAAGGATGTGCCTGTGTGGCGGTGATGATATCCTCCCCTTGGATCGAGGTGCTTGCTGCAGCTCCATGGGCTCTCAAGGCTCACCTCCTTCTTCTGCTCCTTTGCTCTGTGTCCACCTTCACCCACCTCCTCCTTCCCCAACACCCGTATTATTTCATTCCCTCTGCCACGGTTCCTCATTTTCTTCTTCTATCCTTGGTGTGGAAGGTGGCACCAGCTGGATCTCCAGCTGGATCTGGTCGCTAGTGAAGGAAGGCAAAGCTGACCCCCAAAATTCTTCACCTTGAGCGTGTTTGCTTAGGGGTAG